GGAGTGTCAAGAGACAGAGCTGGCTTGGGATTGCTGGCAAGAGAGATGGGCTTCATGAAGAACAAGGAGGGAAATGGCATAACTTATATGACAAAAGAGCTTTTCAACATTTGTTCTAAAGACATCAGGCTTTATGGAGCACCATGCTGCATCTCTTCTAAGACATGTGTATGTGCCAAAGGCATTCCTGGGTTATTTTGCATTCTTCTCCAATACCATCCTCAAATGCATCAATTCTTCTGTCATTCTTATTCCTTGTTCAATTTTCAGGTGATACTTTCCAACTTTCAAGTGATTGCTATAATCATTTGCTATGCATCTAGTAATAGCATTTGTTGTTGTTGTTGTTGTTGTTAAGTGCCATCAAGTCGTAGACAACTCATGGAAAAAAAAGACCTAAACACATGTATAACATTCATCATTTGTCCAAGTTCATAGTTTCCAGAGGCAAACTATTTCGGAAGTGGATTCCCCTCCTGCTTCCAAGCTTGTTTGAGTCAGGGAGCTCCACCAAACACTGTCCACCATGGGTAACCATTATCGCATTTGATGTTTCACAGCAACCACAAGTTACCTCTGTACAGCAAATGGACAGACCAGTGCTACACCACTTAGAAGAATGTTTGATCAAAAACAGTTAAAACCAGGCCCAAGAGCTGCAAATCCGAGGGCCCAAAAATGCTTTTTTAAATAGGTGGCCGAATACAATCAATTCACTCCCTATGGCTGGTAAACATTGCACCTATGCCTCATCTGAATAGCATTTAGAGAGATTTTAAAAAAAATACAAAAAAACCAAAAACCCACAATGGGAGTGACATCACAGCTGGGTAAGACTGAGAAAAATTGGATAAATTATGTATACTGCATTGAAACAGATGAGTGAGAGAACAGTTTAAACACTATATATGATAGGGTGTTATCGTTATCACAAGAGTCCAGAATTAAGGTTGCATAGTGGAGTGTACTCAGGGTGGGGGGTGGGGATTATATACCAATGAAGGAATTTTTCTTTTACTTTTCAAAGAGAGGAGCAAACCTGGGGGGAGCAGGGAGAAAAGCGCAACACTGAATAAATGGAAATCCAAAATTTCTGTAAATGTTCATTAAAATTAATTTTAAAAAACACAACATGAAAAACAAAGAAATCATGCAATATTACTCAAAATGGGTGACCCTGGAGGACATTATGCTGAGTGAAATATCTCAATCACAAAAGGACAAATACTGCATGGTGCCACTGTTATAGAATGGGACTGATATCAGGGTTGGGGTAAGATTGAGAAAAACTGGATAAATAATGTATACTGCATTGAAACAGATGAGGGAGAGAATAATTTAAAAGTGATATACGATAGGGTATTATAGTTATCACAAGAGTCCAGAATCAAGGTTGTATAGTGGAGTGTACCTGGGGCAGTGGGAGGGGTGTGGAGAGATTGTAAACCAAAGAAAGAATTTTTCTTTTACTTCTTCAAAGAGAGGAGCAAACTGGGGGGGGGGGGCAGGCAGGGAGAAAAGTGCAACAATGAATGAATGGAAATCCACAATCTCTGTAAATGTTCATTAAAATAATAAGAAAAAAAAACCCAACTTGAAACCTATTTGGTCCTTCAAAGATGTCCAAGGTCTTAGCCCTTTAACTATGCCCCACAAATAAAAAATAGGGTAGCAAGAAAAAAAAAGTGTCCTACTTATTTCACTTGTAACAAATTTTAACAAGGAGCTCTGGTGGGTCCTACCTATTTCACTTGTAACAGATTTTAATAAATTTAAAAATGTACAGCCAGATGAAAAAAAAAAAACAATCCACAACAATACTCTATCATCTTGTTCAGTAACAGCAGCAAAATTCTACTAGGACAGTAAACAAGTGCTGGCAAGTATATGGAGAGATGGGAATTCTCTTACACTGCTGGTGAGAATGTAAATGATGCAACCATAATGGAATATGGTCTCACCTCTTTAAAATATTGAAAATGTAAATGCCATTTGATCTAGTAATCTCATTAGTAAGTATACATCCCAAAGAAGCAATGCCTACTTGAACCAATACATACACACTCATATTTACTGCAGCATTATTTACAATAGAAAAGATACTCAAGTGTCCATAAACGAAAGAATGATTAAAGAAACTATGACACATTCACACAATGGAGTACTAAGCAACACTTAAAAGCAATAAAGAATTCATGACACACTGTACAACATGTATAACAGAAGAAATTAGATGGAGTGACAGGTGTCGGTCACTAAAGGAAAAATACAAGATCGCTATTAGGAGTGGAAATCTATAATATACACTTACTGAGTGAAGGGAAAGGCAGTACGCAATACAGAATTGATAAATAGTTATATTAATGACTATAATTGTTATAAAACAAATTATATATGATGGCTGAATGAAAATTCAATATTATTTGTACACTTTCTCTAAAATAACTTGTGTGTGTGTGTGAGTGTACCATCAAATCAGATCTGACTGGTACAGGAGGAGATTGTCCCTCCTTTTCCTGGCAGAGCATCTGGTGGATTCGAAACGTGTGCCTCTGGGATTGTAGTTGCAGCTCCTTGCCACTAGGCCACCAGAGCTCCCCTTAAAATCACTTTTTTAAAAAAAAACAAAGTAAAAATAAAATAATTGCCTACTTTTAAAAAACATCACTAGTTACAAACAGCCACTAATAACTGGAATGAGATGGATTAACACAGTGACTATGGCGATGGAGTCAGGCGTTTCAGAGAAGGTGAGGCTGACTCAGGATTCAGAGCCATTGTTCACAAGGTCACAGTGGACTTAACAGCACATAACAACAATACTGACTAAATACACACACATACATCTGGACTACTAGTTAGTTATCCAGGCTCCTTTCTTCATTTCCTGTAAATGAAAAGTTCTTTCTCTAAGAACAGTCTTAAAGGGATCAAGCCAGACTTTTTCCTTTACATGTTGTGGGAAAGTAAGGCATGAGGCCTCTTTCACTGTAATTAACATATTCCAGGTGAGAATGAAGAGCTATCACACCTACAGGCTGTGATTTTACATCCCCAGATGATTTTCCAATGTGCCAAATTTTTTTATTAATTTCATATTGATTAACCCTTCATCTCCAAAATGAAAGTCCTTTATACATGGCTGTCAATCTACCTGCAGAAGACTGACAAAATTCCCCTCAAAGACAGCTGCATGAGCTTCTGATACAGGCTTCTTGGACTTGTTTCTCACTGCTTAAATTGTGTCATCAGGATGTCCCAGGGTTCTAAGAACCCACATTAGATCACTCTCATTTTTAAAACCTTTTAGGAATCCTCTACTAAGTGGGAAACATGATAGGTTATTTGGTGGAGAAATTTCTCAAAGTACTAAAAGCATTTTATGATCTGCTTTCACACCTCTCCACCTATGTGCACCAGAGTGCATCACACCCCTCCACACTGACCTATCTCAGCCTAGGGAACCACACATTTTTCAAGACTCGCGTCTAAGTTCACTTCTGGTCTACTAGCAGCATATACCACTTCCTTTACAATGACATAATATCAAACTAACCTGCAGTTTACACTTACTGTAACTGGCTTAATGTGTTCTGGTGGTGCACTGCATTACATGGTATAGGAGTGCTGGTTTGAATCCACCAGTCACTCTTCAAGAGAAAGGGCAGTCTGCTCCTGGAAATATTTACAGCTTTGAAAACCTGCTAGAGGATTCCTATGAGTTAGAACTGACTTAAGGGCAATAGATTTAGTGTGAGTAAATAAATGATTTTTCCTTTTCTAAAGTTTTTGGCTTGAGTCTGTTTCTTTTATTAACAGAAAATCTCCTTTGGGTAAGGATTTTGCATTTTGTGTGTTTCTTGAGGGTCTACATCAACTACTGTTTCTTATATAACTTACTACATACGCTAAACACAGTGGTCACTTAAGAACCATCTGTGGTTCTTTTACTAATAATCAAATCCTTTCCCAGCATGGTGGGAGTAGGACATAATCATATATCTTGATTTTACGTTATCTTCAGCTCCCTTCTATGGAAATACAGCATGCCCCAAGCCATACTTCTAAAACAGGGAAGTCACACCTATTCTCAAATCCCAAGGCATCCTGAGTAGATAGTCTTAAATGCCTGCCATAGCCATCTTCCCTCTCTTCCTTGTTATTAGAGTCATAATTCTGTCTAGATATTCAACTTCCCCTTTCCACATGACTCAAATAAAGAACCATACCTCCAATCAATGGAGTCCCACTTCCTCTGCCCTGGACTCATTTAGCCATGGGCTTCTGGTGCAATTCAGTCTAATAATGTAATGTCAGAGAAATTCTGCTGGGCTTTTCTATGAAAATCTATAGGTGAGACTGTCCCTGATAAGTCACTAATTGTTGAAAAATCAGCCCTCAGATTGCATCTAGACTTCTTGTTTTGTGAAATAAAACTTGCTGCAGCAAGAATCCTAAATAGACAACTATCAATTAACTGTATTAATAAAAATAATAGCATGATTTTATTATCTCCCAGAAACCTTGCTAAGCACTGGACAGTTTATCTTTTAATTCTCTTTTATGATCTCACATATGTCTTCGTCAGACTCGTAAGCATTCAGTTATGTGCCAGAGCTAGTAAGGAGAGTTAGGATTTGTACTCAGGAAGCCTAATTCAGTCAGCCTCTTCATCCCTAATACTGTACAACCCCAAACCTGGGTTCTCTTCTTCATATCTTCTGAACACATATATTACCACAGCACTGAAAAACTGAGATTGTCCTGTGCTCCAGTTCCTCACTATATAGATGGGGGGGCGGGGAACATTAGAATGGAAAACAAAAACTATCAAAGGAGCAAATCAAATTAGGAGAGCCCAAGTCCCTTAGAAGGAGACCCTTTCCATAAGAGTTGAAGCGACTACATCTAAGGGGCATCCTGAACCACCAAGTTGAGCCTCTCAGCTTCCCAGGTGCTGAAGAACCGTAAAAGGTGCTCCAGAAAGAACTGCTACTCACCAGCTGGGCCGAACTCTTCTCCTGGTCACTGCTGCTTCCCTCCTGCTGAGGAGCCATATTCAGGTGCTTGGCGGCTACCTCTCTTTCTCTTTTGGCCAACTGAACAATCTCATCCTGGATGATGGCCTGCACCTGTTGATACCTGTGCCAGAAGATAAATGGAAGAAGCAGATGCAGATGACATGATAGGCAGAAGGTCACCAGGAAGGTTAGCCGTTCCCATCAGTGAGCAGAAGAGCCTGGTGGAGCTGCAGAGTTGGCAAGGGAAGAAAAGGGTGCTGTGAAACTTGGGCCAGATGCCACCCAGGGTAAAGGCCAGTCCTCCTTCAACCACATATTATCTCCCCTCTGTGACCACTAAGCAGACATCAGTGATACTCCTAAGACAAGGGAGTGTAGTCACACTCACAGAGACAGAACAATCTGAATTAGGAACAGAACTGTCACCAGGTGAGGATTCAGGCAGGGAGCCATATGCCAAATGAGAAACTCTCAGAATTCAGTCCTGTGCTCGCCAATTCTTCGATATGCGAAGGCAGGTGGGAAACCCTATCTCCCCCTTGAGAGTACAAGGGTTTTTAACAGTGATAGTCCTTTGTCTTGAATATTTAACAATTCATCTTAAATGTGTTTCTAGCCTTCTGGGCTTTCTGCCTAATAAAATGATCCTTTACAGAGAAAAAGTTACTAGCCCAACTGCTCTTAGCAGTGTTAATTGCTATGGGGGTAGAGGAGAAACGCCAAAGGCACATAACCTAAACATTCAACAATCAAATAGGTGAAGGATAATGAGACAAAATAATACTATGATATTCTATGTAGTCATTATAAAATAGGCTCTTCGATTTCTCTATACATTGAATCCATATATTTACAAAGCTCTAGTGGCTTAATGGCAAGGAACTGGGTCTTCTACAATTTGAACAAATAAGGCTGTAACACCTGCATATAACAGGTTGTTAAAGTCTTTTTCCAAGCCTGATGCCACATTCTTCCTTTTATAGTCCAAACTCTTGGACTATTTGCATAGCATACAAACTGACACAGTATGGTAAAACAGTATGCTAATGCATACATACCTTCCCTAATTTTAGACCATATGATAAGAGTACTGAACAGTAACAATGTTAATCTAGAGATTAAGGTGCACCTAATCTAGGCCATGGTCTTTGCAATTACCTGTTATGCATCAGACAGCTGGACAATGAAGATAACAGAAGAATCAATGCCTTTGAATTGTGGTGCTGGGAGAGTCTTGAACATACCATGAACGGCCAAAAAAAAAAACAAATAAGTCTTGGAGAGGGTGAAACAAGGTTTCTCCTTGGAAGACAGGGCTTTTAAACTCCATCTCACACACTTTGGGCATGTGGCCAGGAGGGTCTGATCCCTGAAGAAGGACATTATGCTCAAAAGGGTGGTGAGACGGAGCAGGAGAGGAAGACTCTGGATGAGATGGATTGATACAGTAAGTGGGGCAATGGAGGCTGGTATATCGGAATTAGTGAGACTGGCTCAGGACAGTGCAGGCTTCAAGGCTGCTGTACATCGGGTCGCTGTGGATCGCAAGCAACTCAATGGCACACAACAATAGCTATGCCATTGTGCTATTTGAATGACTGTCTTTTCATCAACATACAGGTTCCACACAAGCATGATTAAGTGTTCTGAAACTCCCATTCTCCACAATGTTATCTAAAATGTATAATGATGGGAAAATCCCTTCTGGTAGGATCTCCAATCAGAAAGCTCAGCAGTCAAATCCCTCTAGAAGAAGGGCACTGAATGTATCACAACTTCTCAATCCATTCATTTCTGGTTGGACATCTAGGCTGTCTCCACATTCTTGTAATGGTGAATAATACTGTTATGAACATTGATGTACAAACCTCTGCCTGAGCCTCAGTTCTCATTATCTTGGGACATATTCCAAGCAATTGTGTTAATCACAGGGTTGCACAATTCAATGAGGGAAGGGGAGTAGGAAATGAGAAAGATCTTGTATGATAAACAATATATTCGAACTTAATAAATAAATCAGGATAAAATAAAAAAGAAATTAAAAAAATAAAAACCTAAAAAAAGAAAAGAAAGACACTGAAAACAAAGACAGCAGAAATGAATGATAATCCTGGAATCCTGAGATTCAAAGGAAACTATAAAGAGGAAATTCAAACACTGATTGCAGGAAGAAAACATCATTTAAGGGGCAGATGAAGCAGACAGATGTGGAAGTATCCAATACCACTTTGTCCTTTTCTGAGGCTGGCTTTCTGGGGTCCTGTAGGAACACAGAACTGCAATCATGACCACATTAATGGCTGGTTGATGGCAAGAAAAATGTGATTCCTTCTGCTATATCCTCATGGATGACTCAGAGTGACTTTCTACCCAGAAAAGGGTTCCCCTTGCCTCATGTCATTTAGAATCTGGCACCAAGGGTGCAAGCCACTTGCTGCAGTACTCAGTGACTTTTTATTGCTGGTGCAGTGAGCTGTGTCTACCTGGGAGGAAGGCCTGCCTACACCAGTTTCAAGATTGATAAAAATACAGTTTGGGGGCTGCACTCATCTCAAGAATGATGAAAATTTAGTCTAGGACAAGGGTCCCTGCATCTAATCCTATGATCCTACAGGCTGGTGCAGACCACACATACACTCAGAGCAGAACACTCTACAAGCAATCTCTAGCACAATCATTAGCCATCTCAGGCTTGGCACTCAGCATCTCAGGGGCTGGCAGTGACAGGAGTATGTCACAGCTAAGAAGGAATGTGCAACCACTCATCCTGCTGGGGACGGAGGCGGAGGCACCGTCTTAGCTGTGCTCTATGATTCATTCAGATCAGGTATAGGGTATAGCCTACCCACCCACCCACCATCCACATGCCTGCCCTCAATTCTAGGACTATGTAAGACCGTGAAGCTGGACAGATGATAATACATCCTAGACAGAGTGCCCTCCTCAGTCATCAGAGGAGCTATACGTGGTCTGACGTAACATCTTGGGCTTTCTCCAGTATCCTTTAGCCACTTCTCTGACATGCAGAATCTCTATCCTGTTTGGGTACCACATCTTCAATCTGTCAGACCAGCAGAAACACCATCCTAGACTAGACATCTACTGCCACTGGCCACAGGAGTTTTCAGAGCATCCGCCAGCGGGTGTTCCTTTCCTTCCCCTTTTTTCCTCTATCTTTCTTTTTAATTCTATGCTGATTTTCCTGCCCTATGTACTTTTCTCCCTTTGAGGTTTTTCTTTTTCTTTTTTAAAACTTTACTGGCTACTCTTGCTTTTTTGTTTTAGGTTTGAGTGATTCGAGGGTTTTGGGGTTTTTTTTTGTTTTGGGGTGGGTTGGTTTGGTTGTTTTTTGGTTATTTTTTTATTTTATACTGTTTACTTACAAAGTTCGCATACGTTGTTTCTCACACCGAATCTTTCCCTTTTTGTTACCCATCCCTCCCTCCAATCATCAAATTGTGTGATCCCCTTAAATGGTTAAGCCCTCCTCCTACTTGTTCTATTATTAAATTCTATTGTCCATTATTAAATGGTCCTATATAGTATTTGTCTTTATGAGACTGAGTTAGTTCACTTAGCATAATGCTCTCCAGCCTCTCCCATGTTAGGTAGCAATTTACAAAATCATTTGTACACCAATGTTCATAAGCAGCATTATTCACCATAATACAAACATGGGAACAGCCCAAATGCCCAACCACAGTGAAATGGAGTGAGAAATTATGGTACACTCACATAAGAGAATACTATGCAGCATTCAGGAGCAATGATTTTGTTTTGGGGTTTCTGTTGTAGTTCTTGTTAATGGTTGGGTGGTTGTTTTTTCTCATTTTCCTACTCTCACCAAGCAGCAGACAGCAAGAGTATTCACACAGCCCAGTCATGCACACACCTCCTGCAGCTTCACCCACTGCAGCAGCTCCACCTGACTGATATTAGACCGTAACCATTACTAACCTACTCTACTGCTCCACACAAGCAAGAAATGGAAACCAACACACATAAATCTCATCTCCTATCACAACCACCAAAAGAGAGGAGATGAACGAAAAACTACAAACACAAAATCACCTCAATGTCCCAGAGGCAACAGGTATCTTTAAACATCATGACAGAATGAGACCTAGGTAAAGGCAAGGACAATAAACTTCATCAGAGAAAACCTTGGAAGAACTCTAGAAGCCATACTCCACACATGAATTATCTCCCAAGCATCTAGAAAATCCTACAACCAGAAAAGAATAAAACAGATCAATGGGACCTTCTTGGAATTAAATCCCTAATACACATTAAAAAAAAATTCTACAATAGGGTGAAAAGGAAATTCACAGACTAGGAACAAATATTTGGTACTGACATCTGATAAGGGAATTATATCTAAAATTTATAAACACACACAACAACTCAACAACAAAAGGTAAACAATACAATAGCAAAATGGACACAGAACATGGATAGACACTTCACCAAAGAAATTCAAGTGGCAATCAAACACAAAAAGAATTATTCAAAATCCCTAGCTCTTAGAGATGCAAATCAAACAACTATGAGATATCATGTCACCCCAGTAACAATAGAAAAGTTCAGCAGAACAGCAAACAACAAATGCTGGTGAGGTTGTGGAGAGACTGGAACCCTTATTCACTTCTAGGAGTGTAAAATGGTGTGATCACAATGGAAGGCAGTATGGCGCTTTCTCAAAAAGTTGGAAATACAAACATCATTTGACCCAGCAATTCCACAACTTGGAATATACCCTAAAGAAACCAGTGTTGCCACCAAAACAGATATATGCACACCATGTTTATTCCTGCATTATTCACAACAGCAAAGAGAAGGAAGCAACCCAAATGCCCAACAACAATGAATGGATAGAAACACAATGGTATATTCACACAATGGAATACTATGAAGCAGTTAAAAAACAAAGAATTCATAAAATATTACACAACATGGGTGACCCTGGAGGATATTATGTTGAGTGAAATATTTCAGCTACAAAAGAGCAAATACTGTATAACACCACTATTATAAAGCAGGACTGACATGTGGGTACGGGGAAACCAAGAAAAGAGGGGATCAATAATGAACACTGCATTGGAACAAATGAAGGAACGAACT